GAACTATCGTGGCTGTGGGCTCAGTAAATATTGAAGAAGATTCACTCACAAACTACACACTCTTACATCCAAAAATAGTTGGGCTACAACAAAAATTTCATACACTATCCGAAACAGGAGGAAAAAACATCATGTTCGCATGGATACCTAGCCATGTGGGCATCCGAGGAAACGAGCAGGTAGACGACCTGCACACACACATACACACTCATACACACATAGTAGGGGGAGGAGGAGGCGTCATTTTAAAGAAATTTGCTAAAGATCCTAATCAGTTACCCTATTTGTGTGAAAAATTCAAAGTGAAATTTGGGAAGAACACTTTTTCTTTGATGGTTACGTTGTCAAAATGTCTTTTTTTCCCTTGATGTGAACGAAACGATCTTCCCACGAATTTGAACTATCCATCCACCAAATTGACTTCTGACCTGCTCACAGGTTGACTGCTCAAAGTACACAATAGACACAAGTGACCTGGCACTTGAGGATGGTAGCACTTTCAAGCCCCGCTGTCCGCCTGACCACCAGTACATTTGTGCTTCAGATGGCCATACTTTCACGAACGACTGCCAGCTGTGCGCCTACAGTGATGCTAATAATGGTTTGTATAAAAAATCCCCCCCCCCCCAAAAAAAAATCAAAAAAAAATCAGAGCTTTTTGACACCTTTGGGAAAATGTCTTAACTAATATCATCGTAAGTGACTTCTGTAGATTAAAAAAACCCAGGAGCTTGGACAATAGCAAAAAAAACCCCAACAACAAACAACAGGTATAGTGTCGCGATACAGAGTCAAGCATGATGGCATCAAACGAAGGCTCCTTCCTTTGCAATATCCGACTTTGAATCCCCATGCTTCTTATCAGAAAAGTTATAAAAGTAACTGGACAGTTAGTTGTTTTTACCTGTTCAGGTTTTAACCTGGGGTGCAATTATTTAATACATTATTGTGAAGTTACTAAGTTACTCTAATATGTATAGAAAGCAATGGGAAGCAAAAGAGTTTTTGTCAGTTAAAAAGACCTTTATTCTACACAAAAACGAATGAGGAAAAGACCGCGCAAAACCTCTTCCTTATAATCCAAAGGAATCAACACAATCTGTAGAGATATCACCATAGCACAACATTTATGCCAGCATTTAACGAAATAAGTTGAATATCTTTCACTGGAGGGCCTTTTTTTTTATTGTACCAGGCTCCATGTTGTTTACCACTAGATCTACATATCGAAAGCAACACAATTATTTTTGCAAGAATTTTGAGGAGTTTCGATCGATTTTAGCGCTCAGAAATTGAGGTCAGTCTTGTTTGCAAGTTCTACTTCCTTCCTACATCTTCAAAAGTTCACATTCTGTTCGGATTTCGCTCGGTTTTCTTCGAGCCGCTCACAGTTATTAAATATGCCTTTTTTGTTTTTGTTTCAGTTACCTTAACAGTCCTAACTGACGCAGCATGTGGCCATTAAAGGCACTGTTTGGAGGAAAGAGAATACAACGCAGACATCTGCGATTCCCCTCACAAAATCAGGTTGTAAAATTACATTTTAATCTTCGTTGCTTACAAAACTGAGTGGAAAATAAATGATCAAGATCGATTTTGTGTCGCTCATTTGTACTTTTCAGGGAGTACGTTTGATAAGTTGTTGATACAGCCTCTCTCTATCATTGCATGCACAGTAAATAAATACCTCAACAAAGGTTACTGTTGGGGTTAGCAAAGCAGACTTCACACTACACGAACTAACATCACGCATCTCGGACCTGAGCAATACAGCGGCGGGTCCGGCTGACATCCACAACCAGATCATTAGACATTTACCCTCTGAAATCTGAAACACTCGAACTTCTACTAAATACAACTGCATGTGGTGGTAGCTAGAGCTTGCGTCTGCTCAATCAATCGAAGGCTTGCGAGCAGCAGACGGTTGCGCTAGAGGCTTGCGAGCAGGCTTGTGCTTTGCTTTGCCTCCCGCTCGCTACCGGGGGGGGGGGGGGGGGGAAGGGGGGAACTTCCGGTGAGTTGTGTCTCGCAGACAGTCTTGCTGTATTGTGTCGTGACGTCGTGAACTATCGTGGCTGTGGGCTCAGTAAATATTGAAGAAGATTCACTCACAAACTACACACTCTTACATCCAAAAATAGTTGGGCTACAACAAAAATTTCATACACTATCCGAAACAGGAGGAAAAAACATCATGTTCGCATGGATACCTAGCCATGTGGGCATCCGAGGAAACGAGCAGGTAGACGACCTGGCGAAGAAAGCTTCATCCCTTCTGCTGGGATCAACGACAAACACTCTCCCACAGACTGACTTTAGAAATAAAGTCAAAAAGTACACCTTCAGTCTGTGGGAGAGCCACCGGGAAAAACAGAAAAACAATAAACTGTATGTTATAAAACCCAAACTAGAACAGCGAAATCCTTCGGACCTCTCCAGAAGAGACGAAGTCATTTTTACTCGATTGCGCATCGGACACACGGCCCTGACCCACAAATACCTCCTACAGAGAGATGTGAAGCCGTTCTGTCCGACACAGATTTTACTATTAGACACATCTTAACCGAATGTCTGGACTTTGGAGAGATCCGAAGGAAATATTATAAATGCAAGAAATTGCAAGATATTTTTTCCGTCGTTGGTCCCAGCAGTATTTTGAATTTTATGAAGGCCATTGGCCTTTATGGCAAATTGTAATAGTGAAACAATATTGTTAACATTTTTAAAATTGTTTTTTATATGAGTTGTTTTAAATCGCAAATATATTTTCACTGAATTTTAGTATTTCAGTTTTAGCATTTTAAAGTCTAATTGTGGACAAACCGTGCAGTGAACTATTGCGAATGCTACCAACTTGTGTTTCGCGCGCTCTTATGACCTTACGCAGTTGCGAGCGCCTTAAAACCCTCTACTACTACTACTACTACTACTACTACTACTACTACTACTACTACTACTACTACTACTACTACTACTACTACTACTACTACTACTACTACTACAATAGTCACAGGGTCATGGTTAGCATTTAGAGCTGTGTTTGCAGTCATTACAACAATCTTGTCCTTTTTAAAGGAACATTCTGAGACTGATTCACCTTCCATTTTGCTGAGAATAGTTTGACCAGCTTTTTGTGCTTTGTTAACGTTGACAGCTATTTCAGCAACCACACCCGTAACGATATTTCTCAGACTAGTGTCTCCAGCCAAGGGAAACATTCTCCCATGAAGAAACTTGGTAACAGCCATCATATCCTGCGCATCCTTTACCGATCTCGATGGACTCCCTTCTTTGTGCTGTTCACTTGAGAGACGCAACGTGCCTATCATTACTTGCATGGCATTATTTAGTGCGTTTGTTTGTGTGAGTGTGTGAGTATTTGTGTGCAAGTGTGTGTATGTATATTCTAAAAGTCCAAAGGTGCTGTTATCTCTCTCTTTTTAAAATTATTATTTGAAATTATTGTGCGCTCCACTTTGTGAAAAACAGGAAACAAAATTATTGTTATCAATAATAGGCCTATTAATATTTATAGACCAAGATACTGTTAGTGTTAGCAATCCGATAAAGCTGGCATCGACCCTCTTTTGTGCTCGCTGTTCCTTACACATAAAGCTAGTTATGGCACACGCCTAGAATCATGCAGTCATATCTAAATTCAGTTTAAAAAATACATTTTTCACCATTTCTAATCATAATTAAATCTTTTAACGTCTTGCAAGATTATTTGGTAAGTTTGATAATTTTATGTTACTTGCACAAGTTTTTTCTTCTTATTTTGCCCATCTTCTTAATTTTTAAACTATAACATATATCTTAAATAATTGAACAGTCCGTATTACACATAGAATTTAATTTTTTTTTCTCCCTGTCATTCTATCCGTACTTCCGTCAGTTGATCACTCTCTCTCTCTCTCTCTCTCTCTCTCTCTCTCTCTCTCTCTCTCTCTCTCTCTCTCTCTCTCTCTCTCTCTCTCTCTCTCTCTCTCTCTTATTTAACTTTTCCCACCTCCTTCGTCCCTTCCGAAGGCCCGGGTCACCTCTTTCATCCCAGCTCAATCCCCTCTTCCTTGCGTGCATTCCACCACCCCGCCCACCCCCAACAACGTGGCCCATCCCTACAAGGTTCTGTAAATCAGAAACACCGCAGTTCGCGAGTTTAGACCATAGTCGGCGGCCATATTTACTCCGCACCTCGGCGTGCCGCTCGTGGCGCCGCGAAGAGAGAGAAGAGGGTCCATTAATCTGTTGTAAGGTGCTTGGTTCCTTGCCAATCTTCAGAATAAGCAAGCATTGATGCGACTTTTAGGGTCGTAATTAGAAGAAGCGGGCATCTGTGTTGCTCATGCCAAAGAAGAAGGAGATGCGGACACAACCATTGTGAGAAAAGTGTTACAATTTACGGTTCAAGGTTTACCTGTGGTTGTCTAGGCTAAAGATACAGACATACTGGTAATGTTTCTGTATCATGTAAGCAAGGACATGGAAATCTACATAATTTGAAGAGAAGTAACGTCCAAATAATTTCTTTTCAAGCAGCTAAAATGACCATTGATGAGAACATGTGCTGCTGCATCCTGGTTGCACATGCCGTGTCAGGATGTGATACAACGTCTGCTGTCTTCGGTATGGGTAAGCTTAATGATTTCAAGCTGTTGCAAAAGTCAGAGCATTAGCAACAGAAGATCAGTATTTTGGGGCAAACAGATGCAAATGTAAAGGACATCACAGACATAGAAATCAAGTTCTTGTCATTCCTCTACTGCAGTGGACCTCAAAACCTAAGCCTTACTTTTCTTCGGTATCAACAGTTTATCTCCCCAAAATACTCGTACGTGCCACTTGAACGGATGGCTCCAGCAGAAAGAGAGAGAGAGAGAGAGAGAGAGAGCCGCACAATTCCATGCCCTTCGAGTGCATCACCAGGTTAGTACATGGCTTAATCTGCGCACTGTCTTTGACTTTGTTGATTGCGCTTTACTGTGAGTGACAACATTGCTTGTGAGTCCAGTGATAACTGGCAGTGCTCCGGCCCCAGATAAACTGCTACGTGACATCCGCTGTTCGTGTAAGAGTAAGAGCAGCACTCCACTATGCAAATCCTGTACTTGCTGCAAGTACGACATCATTGTTATGCAGCAGACAGTGTGAAAATGCTTCAGAAACGGACACAACTTAAACTGGGCCTAGGGAAAAGGCAAAGGAATGAGACAACCGCCGAACTCAGTATCCTCTAGTTTATACATTGAGTGTGCCTGGCCCACGACGCGGATGGGGTGGAAGGGGGACTGGCTCTACAAATCAACGCAAACAGACTTCTTCCTAAGTTCCCGAAGTAGGCGGTAACACGGGTAGGAAGGACTCTATAGCACTTCAGAGCACACCAATCTAGAAGAAGGAAACTTCAAAATCAAACCATGGTCTGACAGAGATCAACAGCCCTAGAAGGTAATCTCTCGAGGAGAAGGAAAACTATGATAATATAAAACACCCACTGCCTTGTTGATATGGGAAGCACAAGAAGAAGAAGTGTTTGACGGTAAAATAACTGTGAATACCTTATTAGTAGTTGCGATTGTGGGCACGTTTGTTTCAATCAAATTTTGTATTTCGTGGTTCATTACTTGTGTTTGCCTTTAAACTTTTTCGTTATTTGTATGCACAGAAGTCATACACTTATGACCATAACCCAAACAATCGATTAGAAAATGTGAAATCACGAAAAGGTTTTATTTCGCCTTAATTTTACTATTTTTACTCATCTTTCCATGTTTATCAACGAATTTTCATGAAGGTTAGCATGCAAATGGCGAGCGCCATGCTATGCCTGAACATGGATTTACTGTTTAGGTTTACATGACCACACCACATCTTTTTGTTTTAAAACGTATATTATTATCTCAAGCATGTGTTTACCGCCAATAGGTAACTTGAATTTAAGTTAATTGCAAAAACAACATAAATTCTGGCTTTTTCTTGTTGAGACGTTGAATTTGATAGCAAACACGGCCATATATGAGCTATTTTTAAAGATGACCCTGACAATGACCTTGACCTTTCCTAATATTTAAATGTGAGGATTATTTGGTCAATTTTAATAATAAAAGTATTTTGTGTTTCACTCGGTGATTGCTTGACAATCTTCCACACACGAGCTAGGAATAGGTGTAAAACAAACGCTTTTCGTTTATATGCTCCCCACCCGTTCACCCCCCCCCCCCAAACGCCCTTGTCTTTTAGATTATAAATCGAGTTAACACCTTTTTCCAGATCAATTATCAAAATAGAGAATTCAAATGAAGCATAACCAAATTTATTCAACACAGTCGAATCAAATTCAACATGGAAAGTTCAAGCATCACTACAGAGGGAGCAAATGTAACAGTAGGAAACTCAAATATCAAAATAGCGCTATCAAACAGAGAGTTCAAAATTAACATTGTCAGTTCAAATTCAACATTTTGTCAGTTCAAATTCAACACACATTATCTAAGTACAATAGGTTGTTTGACATGGTCTTGAGGACACCCCAACCCTCCCTCTCTCTATGTCTCTCTCTCTGTCTCTCTCTGTCAATTAGGGCTGTACCCTGGT